GATGTACATGAAACAGTGAAGCACAGTTGTTGGGCAGCACAAAAGTGCAATCCGATATTCCTCTGAGGGACAGTTGGCGCAGTGCACAACACGACACAGCTGTGCTTCAAATTGACAATGATTAAAGCCTCACCTGCAGTACACACATGCCATATGTGTTTCCTAAGATCTTGTGTGTTTCAGAGTAGTAACAGTAGCGGATGTTGGTTGCTGCAATGAACAACTCAAAGGGGTCATCTTCTTTGATATCCAGGACACCGCTCTTTATCTTCTTCTGCAGTTGCTTCATACGCTTCTTGCGATGGCTGCACGATGAAAGCACAAAAACATTTATATAATGGGTTTCGCCATTACCCAACGTATTTTAATGAGCACTGTATGCTCAGTGCTTGTCCGAGAGCTTGCGAAAAAACCTCACAAGCTTATTCGGATGGGACTCGAACCCACAACCTCCTGCTTACTAGTGCAGATGTCTTAACCACTATATTTATATCACTGTAAATTAACATCTCCCCAACGCAAAAATACATCTTGAAAACACAAAAGCATTAAGACTGCTCCTAGAATGTACAGATACATATGTACATACATGTATACACGCACATACAAATTGATACCCATTACCACTTTTAAATAATAAGCCCGCTTTTGGAAGGGTCATACGATTTGACCTTCATGTACATGAAATATGTTGAAGGTCAAATTTTACTCTGCCACTTGCTGCAAAGAGAATGTTGTGGGAGGCCATAATTGATTTTATTTGGTTTTTAGAAATTTTAGTGTTAAGCACATGGCAGAAAATTTGCATATGTTTCTGTTCTCCTTCACTGTCCGAGTATAATCAACCGGTGAATGCCCAGTACCGGTAAATAAAAATCCTAGCAAAGATTGTAAAAAAACCTGTTACTGTAACATGTACAGTGTACATTCACACAAACATAACTACCGGCACCGGTACATGTGGTCATTGGATGTACATGAACATTTTGTACAGGTGTCGGTATGTTTCCCTGCTTCATCTGCAAAGTAAGGCTCACCTGCTGAAACCAAGCTCCTTTTTGTAGCACCACAACACTGATGGTCTTGCTCTGACAACAGCCTTTGATAACATGTGATGTAAAATGACAACCTGGCATTGGACAGGAGATGTGTGAGCGGTCAGTTAAGAGGAGATACAAATGCTGAAAACAGAATAAGCTGCACAGATACATGTACATGCTTATACACAAAGTTACAAATACATGTCCATGTACACATGAACAGGTGCTGTAAGTGTCACTCATTGAAATGTTTTCAAGGGTGGTACAAGTACCATTCGGGTGATGTTCAGGTTAACTGCTTTCATCTGATTAACACTATCACTGGAGTTCATTACATGTAGATCGGAGCATGGAGGTGATAGATGGGAGATACAATGTATGTACATCTTCCTACCTGGGGGCACAGGCGTATATAAAAATAACCTGGACTTGCAACGCCTTTGTATGAAATAGAAGCCAACCAGCGGCCATTTTACTGAGCCGAATACAAATGCGTGGATTGGCTTGCTTCTATTGACGCCAGGGAGAACAAAGGCGGGCATTGCCGGACAAGCTTTGTATTCAGCTCGGTAAAATGGCCGTGAGTGGATTCAATGATCTCTATAAGCTAATTAAGGGCATTGCGAGTCCAGGTTTTTTTGTATACGTCCGTGACTCAGGGTAGACAAAGATTATAGGATGATTGTTTTCCTTAATACCTCATCATGTTTAATTGGAAATACCTGCTGTGAAAATGCTTGGGCCTGAAACTCATAAAACTCACAAGCATGAGACAAGACAATAAACTCTGTAAAATGTGCAAAAAGTAAATGTATTTATAAACCAGTAATGTATGAAGCATGATTAAGTTGAGGTACAAGCTTTGCTTTTACTGGAAGGGGAATTGACTACTCCGCATGTACCGATTCCAAATATCACGCAATGTACGTTTATAAGTGCATGTAACTTGCACTGCAGTTTAATGTAGCACTGGTGTCTGTGATGTACTGCTGTACATATATGTGCAGAGTCAATTTTCAGGACTTGAAAAGGTTGAGCAAACAAATGAAAATTTGTCCCATTTTTTTCATTTTGTGAAGAATGATGCTGAAGGAAGTAACAAGAGTTGGATCTTACCTGATCTTTTCCATGGTCTCCAACGACAACGAACATTGATCGACGACCGAGAGTCACCCCATTCTCTATCAACACCCGAATCCGATTGTCAATCTTTTTACGGACCATTCTTCATGGAACATTCTGGAAAGAAGTGTCAAAGATTAAACCTGATCAACGTGTAAATTTAGTTCATTAAAATTTAAGGAGAGTTACTCTCGGGAAAACGTACAATTTAAAATAAAGACAAATATTGTCACTGCGAATTGCTTGATTTTCTCCTCAACCCAAAATCAAACACTAATAGTAACAGCCACTTTTACGGTGCACTGTCACGTCCTGTGCTACCTTACAGTGCACTGAAAGTAAAAACTCTGCAAAATACTAAGATTTGAATCAAATTTCCAAGAAAACGATTTGGAGAGAGAACAATTTTCTTGCTTGGCAGCAACAGATTAACAGTCTGGTGCCCGATATGAATTATGCTTGAGTTTACAATAGTTTGATCTACAAAACTACAAAAAGAAAATAATAACATCTACATGTACGTGTATGGTAAGAAAACATGTACATGTATGTGTACTTGGGTCTACATGTACCGTACACGCATGTGTACGTACACGTACATGTACCGTACACGCATGTGTACGTACACGTACATGTACCGTACACGCATGTGTACGTACACGTACATGTACATGTACCTTCAAAGCAGTGCACATACTAAGTGTCATGTGTACACATGTTCCAAATCACCTGGATGGCCTGAAAGAATCTGACATCTTAGTTATGGGCTCTGCCCTTACCGATACACCGATGTATATTTACATCAATGCTTTATTCCCAGAGCTAGAGAAAAAATTCACAAGCTTACTCGGGCGGGACTCAAACCCATCTGAGTGTAATTCTTAGCTGTGCTGGTTGAATGGCAGTTGGTTGCGGCACGCTGGGGGTCACACTGACCAATCACAGGGCTCAACCATTCAGTCCAATCGCGGCTACGATTATGCACACATGTACAGAAAGTAGCTGCAGCTAATTTCCATGTTCTGTGTAGCAGTTGCAGCCATAGTCAACCATTTGGTTATGGCTTGTTTCACATGTACACATGTGAACTGCATGACTCTTGGACGCTGATCAGGAAATGTTTGCATCTTTTTTTTTGGAACGGCATGGTTTTGGCCCTTTTTTTGGTACTAAGAACAAAGGGATGTAAGCTACCATACAAAATCCTGGGGGAAATGAAGCATTTCTATGGGTACACAACTAGAATAGAATCCCTGTTCATGCCATGTTAAACTTTATATAGAGCCTATGGCAAAAAAGGCTCATTTTCTGTGGGGTTTGTGGGAGAGGAGCGGATGTTGGACCCCACAGTTCTGGGGGTATTTTAGGAGTAGGTGAAAGTAGGTACTATACTGATAATATTAGTACTGTGGCCCGACATGCGTACTTCACTTTCCAGATACAAGTAGCACCGAAAAGCCTATCAATTCATAGTGCTATCTATTTCGGTTTATATGAGATTTCTATGCCGTTACACCGACTTCTCCCCTATAATTTCATGAGGTCTCCCGGGATACCATTGTATTTGGGATAGAGAGGTTTTCATTCACATTATACCATCTAAAACGGTGAGATCTTTCCTTACCAACAGGCTCAGATGTGCAGGCACTAGGCTGTTCTCCGTCATATGTACGCACGTGCATCTGTCCCCCACGTATGCGCAGCGCACGTGAAAACCAGACAGACAATATTATTGCGCCACCAATTGATAGCATGGAGCAATGTCAGGCCAAAGTCTGGTCGGGCATATCAGCCGCTGCGCGGCACTTGGGGGGGAATATGTACCGTCAGTTTTGTTAATACTCTCTCCAACAATACTATTGAAAAATACGTCTCTGTACACTTTTTCATAAGATATAGCTTGCCTGCAGCAGATAGGGTTTTAGTTGAGTGTTTACAGGGTAGCGAGAACAAAACATTTCCAATAAAAGTTGACTTTTGCTGTCCATCCGCGACTCGTTTCGGATTTGAATAATAGCCACTAAAAACCAGAAATATAAGTTCGACAAGCAAAGACTTTGGAAACCTTCATGGATACAAGCAAAAACACTAATAAAGAAATGAAATGTGTTACGTTATCATTGTCTCTTGTCCAGTAAGAGTTGCAAGGTAGAAGACCTGTTTTAACTCCTTTCGAACATGACGTCGAGTATTCATTAAATACTCAGACAAACTGCTCAGGGGAAAATGGTTTTATTGCCAGCCATGAGAGGCGACTAGTCCTCACGCCCTGTGAAGCGCCCCATGTTTAATTAATTGCCGGACTTTACTTCCCCTTAAAAAGGCCCCAAAACCACGACTATAGCCTCTATTCAAGTCGAAATTACTCAGCGTGGTTTGTAAACAATTTTTCGCCTCGGTGTCGGTGTATACGGTGAATTCCCCCCCCCCCCCGTTAAATGTCAGAGCACCATTTAAGTGAAGCATACCCCAGAACTGTGCTTGAAAATACAAGCATCCACTCCGGTGTTTTAATTATATAAAATTGATCAACGCGGCATTAGATGTGTACAGTAAAAATGTACTTTATCGACTTTTACTTTTGTAGCAAATACCATGGGCGATATCCGGCCTGGGATTTCATCAAGAGTCTTTTATGTCAAGAAACCTGCTAAACAAAGCGTGACGTCATCAGTACAGGGGCCTATTAGCAATCGATTGTCATAATGATAATCAATTGTAAGCTTTCACGTTGGTGCCAGTGCGGTTTTTTTTTTAGGCAATATGCCTGTAACCTTCGTGTAATTCTATGTAATTGTCGGCTGGCTTTTTTTGCGACACAAATAAAGTGAATTCAAACGCCATGACTTCTCTCTTTACGTGTTGGCCAAGGCACGGCCATGTTACTTGGCTAATTCTTTCCATCATCTGCGTGATCCGCCGGAGCGATACCATCGATGATACTTCTGTAATGCGTTCAGATTTCAAGTCTGAATTACACTCGGACGGCACGATTAAGTTCCGCGTGATTCTATCCAACGGGCAGGGCTCTCACGTGAGGTGTGCCGCGGCATGCCTTAAGGAGGAATATTGCCGATACTTCAGTTACACAAGAGATACAGGACAGTGCGAATTGAGTGATGCCTCGGTAGTTTCTTCAAAGGAAAACAGACTGAAATACTTTAGCAGAAGCGGTAAGACATTTGATTTCCATTAGTATCAAGCGGGATGTTCGTTTTACTAGATACAAAAATCACAGTCATCACTGGTGATTTGTCATAAAAATGTGACCGAGGTAGGGCCCAAAAAAGGTCTCCCGCTTCTGGTCAGGGGTTTGCTCCAAAAGTTGTGCGGCGACGCAGCTTTGTTTGTTTGGTTTTTTTTTTTTGGTTTTTGCCTCCCCTTTTTTTTCTAGAGCATATGTGCTTGTACGTACGTCTACCCGATACCAACCTTGATCTAGACAGCCCCCTCACTAGTTTGGTGTTTAATCAAAAACATTTCTAGCTTGTGGGTATACACAGGACATAAGGTGATTTCGTTTGTCTTGTTCCCAGATGTAAATGTATGATACAGAATGACGTCATCTGAAAAAGAGTGCCTGACTATAAATGTATGTGGGCCCACTGTAAAGGGACTCTTTTATTGTCCATAATGCTAAACCATACCCTCATCTAAATACGTTAAAATTATACAGTAGCAGGATTCCAGTCAATCAAGCAAGTTTGTCAGCCTTCGGACATCGTATTACACAAAATAGAAACTTTCTTATTTTGTCGACGACGCGCACCCGAAACCTTTTTTCCTTTTTTTGGAGGGGGGGGGGCTGAGGTCCATGTTGAACATTTTCTTTTTTTTTCTTTGCATATGGTAACCAAACATTACTCTTAACATGTAGTTAATTCATGTTCTGAAAGAAAAATAACGTTTGAGGTTTTTCAGAAAAAGGAGTCTTGTGGGCAACGAATGAATCAAGGACATGAAAAAGAAAAGCTTTAAATCCTTCGAGCCGGATTCGAACCAGCGACCTATGGATTTATGTGGGTCTGCACAACCTACAGCCGGTCCTAATCCCTACAGTCCACCGCTCTACCAACTGAGCTATCGAAGGAGCCATACAGTGTCTCGAATTTGTTCAAACTATGGTGGCGTTCATTTATTTTTTGACTCGCAAAGTTGTTAAGAAACTCAGTGTCTGACCGAAATACTGAGCAGATAATGGAGGAAGGCTTGAATCCCTTGTGAATCTCAAATTTTTCATCAAGCACATGAAAACTTCGGAATTGAAAAGCAATAATTAATCACATCTTTTGTTTGTATACATATTTTCACAGTTTTGTGAAGAGTCATGTTCCCCTCCTTAAAACGCCCTCTGCTCTGAAACAGTGTCGAGATTTGACTCCAATATAGCGATTCCCCAACCACTCTTGCCAATTCTTGTCTCCTCTTATCCGCAAGTTAAATCGTTCCCATAAAATACACATTCGAATTAATGCTACGTTTTGAAAGAAAAATAATGTTTGAGTTTTTTCCCAAACAAAGAGTCTTACAGGCATCGAATGAATCAAGCAAATGAATGAATCAAGAAAATGGAAAAAAACCCTCTAAATCCTTCAAGCCGCATTCAAACCAGCGACCTATGGATTTAAAGGGGCCTGCACTACCTACGGCCGGCCATGATTTCTACAGTCCACCGCTCTACCGAGCTATCGAATGAGCCATGCACTGTCTTGATCTTTTTACTTTAAGGGAGTTCCTGTCTGTATTTCTTGACTCGCAAAGTTGTTAAGAAACTCAGTGTCTTACAAATGTTCACACCCAGCCCAAGTCCGTGACATCACGGGCGGATACAGGATTTTCCCAAAGGGAAGCGTGATCCCAAATTTTCCAAAAGGGGGTGTGAACGAATCAGAAATGGTAATGCCCGCGAAAACGAAGCGGTGTCACGCCTTGTTTTTCTCCCATTTCCCTCTTTCAATGTATGTATTTATTTTTTGGTGGTACCGTCTCTGAATAGCATGATTTTCCGAAATATTGAGCAGGTAACGGAGCAAGGCTTGAATCATATATTCCTCATTATTTGATCTGATTCCAATATAGTGATTCCCCTAACCATGCTTGCCAGTTTTTGTCTCCCCTTAACCGCAATGTACATCATCATTAATTAATTCTATGTCATGAAAGAGAAATATTTTTTGAGGTTTTGTTTTTCAGAAATACGAATCTTGTATGCAACGCAGTTTCCTTCTTTTAGTCTGAATCAAGAAGATGAAATGAACCCTCTACCTTTTATTGTCTACTCGGGCAGTAAAGGCGCTGTCTTTATGTAGTATTTATAAGTGTACCCCCCACACTAAGCAATACTATAATCCAGAGCTGTCCTTCTATTTATCTTTTGTTCGTTAGTCGGAGGTGATATAAATGTTGCAGGTTGAAAAATGTGAATGTTAAATGTACCCCCCCAAAAAAACCGAACTGTTACGTCTCAATTTACGACCTAAACGTCTTTGACAATAGGTCCTTAACAGTGCCATGAAATTTGTTAGTTTTACAATGGAGTTAGTGAGTAGCGGTATTGGCAATCTTGGTTCAGATTCTGTTTGTATCGAATCGGATGCAAATTTTTTTTGTCGGATTTGGATCAGATTGAGCCTAGGCCTTCAACTCGAACTGAGCTACGGCTCTTAGATTCAGATTTCCGCCTGAAGCTGTCGGATCCGATTACAATATGCTTCCATCAAGTTTGCCTATCCAGTGCATATCTCTCCTAGGATTGTCAGTGCATTGCACTATACTCTTACGGGTATTAATCCTTCCTTTCTTCCCAGTATGCATAACTGCATATAGAACTTCAGGTTTTTTAAACTACATATTCCCATTGCCTGCATTTGACGGGGAGATTGTGTTGGATTTCGCACTACAAACCTCTGCCGACGCCATTGTCAGTCTGTCAACAGATGGCACCTTTGGCGGTGTCAAGTATGAATTGGGTAAGGACTAGGATTTTTTTCACTTAGTGTCTTTCTCGTCTAATGACCAGTTCGGTATTCCAAGAGCGCATGCCCAGTACGAGGTTATCACTAATCCACTGATCTCTGTACACTGGATAGGCAACTCTGCTCCCCGAATTGAAGCGACTGCGCGGACATCTTAGGCTATTCAATACAGTGGCACTTTCTCAAGTCACCGGCTTTTGTGTCGTGCATGAATGCATTTTACGGAATGGACAGAAGTTGGAGGCCATTATATTGGATATCCTAAGATGGCGGTCATTTCAATTCACACATAGGCAGTTACTGCTGAGCAGCCTATCCAGTGTATAGAGATTATCATTTGTTCCCGAAAGACCTTGGCTTTTGAAATACCGAACTGGATCGTGTTGTTAAATAGTAATAGGAATAATACTAATAACAAGCACTTGTAAAGCGCCCTCTATCTAGCAATCCATTCCGAGGCGCTGTATTATCATTAGGCCTATCCCTGCACATTGGGCCCGTACATCATCTGAACATTCCTGAAACCATCACAGCTCCCTGGGGAGTATAATATCCCGGTACGGTGCTGCTATTTTGGCGCAAACGGCTAAACTACCATAGGCCTATCTGGGGCCGATTTCACGAAATTCATGTTATCTTGAAACTAATCTTAATGCTTAAGATGAGTCCCAACTCTATGATTGATCTTTGCCATGAAGGGTTCCAAGATTGGTTTTGCCAAACCCATCTTAAGAAAGATGGGTCATAATAAGAAATTTGGAGGCTGTTTTATGTTTCTTTGGACCCTTTGACGAAAACAGTCGTTGAAAATATGGAGAAAGCCAAAATAAGAACGTGTTGCAGAGCAGTTGACTCATGTATGCTTCCAACTATTTTTAAAAATTCCATTTTGAAATAACAAATAGGTTTTCCCGTTCCATGAGATTTTGGAACATTTCACTTTAATTAAAACTACCTTTTTTGTAAATGATAACACTTTCCAAGCCTGTTACTGCAGCTAGTTTCATAGCACAAAACTGTTACAAATAACAGCTCTAGGACAATACTCGTCTTTTACTTCGACGATAATTACTGCATGCAATATTGAGATAAGACAACCTCAGACCCATCTCAAGTTAGGAAGAGTTCTTGAAGAAGTTAGGACTTGTTGAACGTGTCCTAAAATTTGGTGAAATTGATCCAGAGACGAGTTGTGTGTTTTACTGGAAACCTTTCTCAGAAAGCTGCGTCCTTTGCTGAAAAATCCTTTAGAAGCGCCATAAAGGACGAATTTGGATAATGTAACCTTTACATGGAACCAAGTACTTTTGTCTTTCATCATATTGAGACATTGCAATCATGGGTGTAATCCATAGGGAGGGATGGGGGAATCTTCCCCTTTTTGGTGGGTTGCAGGCTACTGAACACCCCTTTCGTGGTGGAAACAAGTTAAAGGGGAATTGTGAAGGAATATTCAGATTCTGCACCCGCCGGTTTTCACATTTCAAGTCATTCCCCTCCATTCCTCAACCCCATCCCCTAATTTCTAGGAGAGATTTACCCCACTGATTGCAATCCCTATGAATCAGGGCATTGGGTTTTCCATGTATAATTTCAACAAAATATCTAACGTTCATTTCTATCGATACGCGTCCGTGTTCGTGCAAATCTTATCGTTTGACTCTGGATTTTTCCGGTTAATTTAGCATTTCTTTCATTTNAAAATTACTTAAGCGAAAGCTTCTTCATTTCGGGACAGAATTTATCGTTTAGATGGTTTGAATTAGTGGTTATTTGGATGTGATTTTTTAGTGATTCAAAATTGACTAAGAAAGAATAGACCAAAGAAATCAGCAATAATAGTTACATAACTCACTGTTATTTGACTTTCTATTGTTTATGAGATTAAGGGCCAACGTTTTGTATACAAATTTATATCATTGACTAAATTGAATAATGAAATCAGTAAAGTGAATGACCCCCCAAAAATAAATAAATAAAAAATAAGTGAGACGAAAATAACGACAAATGGGACGAATGCGTTTTTTTGTGATTTACAATGCTCTGAAAGTGAAATCTAGTGGTGTTTTTTCGAAATTGGAATCAACATTTACGGCGGATGACCGTCTTTGACGAAATGAAACTTCCGTTTTAGCAGTTTTGCATGAAAGAAGTGCTAAATTAACCGGGAAAAGCTATATATTTTACCATTGTTTACTTTGCATGTTATACTATGATCAGCTGTAAGGAAAACGACGGGAGTTTGATTCCTTTCACCGAGGCCGTCACTGCTTACATGCACAATGTTGTATATATGTATTTCCAGCACAGGAGAGGGTGTAGTACAATGACTCTGCCGAACAATTAGCATGGAAAGTGCCCTGATACTTTTTTTTTTTTAACAAAGTGGATTGTTTAACCGAAAAATGGTTCGATTTTGAAAATACACGTCATCAACTCCCTATTTTTTAGGGCTTCCATCTGAAGGCAGAATTGATAAGATTATGGTTGAAAATGGCCCTAAATGCCGGAAATTCGCAGGGTGACTTTGAAGGATGGCTGCTTACAGGCTCAGGAACTGTCACCAGGGGGAAGTTTACAAGATCAACACACTGGGTTTAGGGCTTCAATTTGAGTTGATAAAATTACAGTTGAATTTTTTTTCTAAATGCCTTAGATATTATAAGGATGCAATTTGAAAAATGGCTGCTTACAGGTTGGGGAACTATAACTTTTCGGGGGTGATTGTTTTGTGTGATTAATTGAAAATCTGATAGGCTAACCCACCAAATTGGAAAGAAATTGATGTCAGCTTACTTGAATGTTATTGGGCCATGAACAATGTCAATTTTACACTTGTTTCAATGGGGCTAAAATTATTGTACTGCAACCGCAAGTTGACTCCATTATATACTGAATTGTTATTAAAAATAGCAGCTTACGTTGCACGGTAAGAAAGTTCTTATTTCCCCGCTTGTAAACACACTGTAAGACAGTTTAAAGATCGGTCATAGTAAAGCCCTCAAAAGAAGTTACATTGTTTGTTCGAATATATTTAAAGGAAACATGATACTTTTCTCAAGAACGCAAGGCATTGTTGTTTGTTCTTTATCTAATCCAACTCGTCTCCGTTCGAATGATTACTTCGTATTATAATATAATTGTTATTTGCGTAAGTCTGTCCCAACTTGAGGGCAAACACGAAGAATTGAGTGCATAAACAAAATCCAGGCAGGATATATTTCTATGTCATTGGGTAAGCAGGTAGGCCTACGAGAAGTTAACAAAATTTGGTAGAAAACAGAAGCAGGTAACTGCAGGTTAACGTTCCAACACAAAAACCAAGTCTTCTTTTGTTTCCCCATGTATTGGTTCACAAATCCAGTTTGTTTTTTGTTTCTTGGAAAGTCCACGTATAATATGCAAAAACGAATGCGGAGCACGTGCCACAGGAACAAATTCGGATGAAAGCATGAAAAGACTGTTCATCAGTTGATTGAATTGAATTGTTGACCAACCCCTCTTCCAGGGCTTTCAACGAATTTGACTGAACAAAGTGATCGTTTGAATTTGAATGAACAGAATTATCAAAAAAAAAAAAGCTCAAACTATTTGACACTCAGATACTGATGTAAGTTAACTCAACTCGAAGTGAATTTTGAATGATCCTTTGACCAAATTGGTTGGCAATTTTTACAAAATATATTCAACTTTATATTTTCAACCGATATCCTTAGTCATTGGCCATGGTGGAGGTGTCAACACCGTCATGCGTCGTTGCTGGAGCTGCACAAATCTGAAGGTTGTTCCATCAGAAGACGTGGTAAATGAGTCACAGATGCGACGCTTTTGGCTCCAATTCGACAACAACCGCGTTGCCCTTGGAAAGTACCATGAGGAGGCGTATATCGAATGGACTGATACCGGCAACATACCCACACCCACGGCTAGCCCCGTCTGGTTCCTTGGTTTAGGTGGCTGGGCGTCTCCTGTGGACTGGCTAATATACCAAAACTGCTGAGAAGATTGTGTTTAAGTGTGCTTTAATGGTAATACATAGGGGAAAAATTAATCTAAGAATTGCATAAGTAGTATTTCGAGGTTTTTGTTACTTCTTGAACAACTCGGGTTCTATTGTTAGTAATTGTTAAAGTATAATCACGTTCATGCAACCTCAATTTTACATCAATAGCATTAACATGTATTGTATAAATGGTTTGCAGTCTTTCAGTTTCGTCACTACACAAAAAAACCAAACTTTTCATGATTAAACTTTACGGTTAAAAACAGGTGTAACTGATTAACTTATCTTGTTGGGTGAAGGAGGAATGTCTATTGTCTTTTTAAACATACTGAATTATGAAAACCTGAATAATCTGGCATGATTATAATTATACAACCTATTTCATTATTTTAAAAGGCTAGCCTTATACCATCTAGTATTCCAGAGGCGCGCCCAGAAATGATCCTGTGAATTCATGGACTACTTCCTAATGAAGTTAAATTGATCATGTAAGCCATGCATTTTCATGAGGTAAGTGCAAGATTTCACGCGGCATATTCAACGGTTTATGACACATTTCTGGTAATGCATATTGTCTTTCAATTGGCAATTTAATGCTGCCTTTGTTATGATTTCATTGTGTATACGAAATTGAAATTGCAGACGTATAAACTTCCTGGGACATTTAAAAAAAAATGCGTGTTGATGTTGACTGTATGTGTGTGTATTTTCAGCAAGTTTGTTATAGCCAATTTAAAGTTGCATGCGTCTTGATGGCTGCTAGATTAAAAATGTGGCAAGACGGTAGGCAGTTATGGATCGATAAAAAGCCTGGTATGTCAAGGTTCGTTGTCTCTATTGTTTGCACAAAGGACAACTAAACTCAATCTATACTTTTTTGTCCACGTTTATAGTTACAGAATAGGATACCAGGACCAGGTGCGGTTGTTAGATGTTTCATTATGCTTGTATGACACAATTAGACTTTCATGGACACGTTCCTTCACTTACGTCCAAAGAGTAACAGGAGTATACATCTACCCTGGTTATTTCTGTACGTCACTTACAAATAGTATGTAATCAGTCTAAATTCAATGATCGATGTTGTCATCGCAACGGAACCGAGCATGAGGGGAAATTAGGCCTTGGAAATGCCACAGACAACCTTTATCAGTTTATCAGTGTACGTCAGTGAGGTTGGTAACAGTGGCTTAAATTTGAGCTGGATTTTTTTTGGGGGGTGAGCAATTGTGGGGGACGACTTGCCCAGCCATGGAAATTTGAAAAGCGGGGGGGGGGTGCTGACACCATATGACACTCTATTGGGGGCGATGTTCATGGGTACATCTGAATAAGAATTATACTCCTGCAGAATCCTACATCAGAAGGGCATGGCTTTTTGGGTGCTGTGGAATAAATTTCGGTTGTTTGAAGTCTGAAAATTCGTCACAATCCGCCTTAATGTGACCCACTCCGCAAAAAGGCCCTGCAAGTCCGGCTATGTCTCTGTAGGTAACAGACCATTCAGTGCATCTGCCAGAGATCAGTTTTAAATTTTACTGTGTCTCAGGAATAGAATGTGAGACAGAGGTCACAAATACACAGATTTAATCCTTACTAGAATGCCTCTGTGTCCGTGGGCATCACTTCCAATCAATTTGTCACACATAAGCCTAAGGGCCATTTTTGCAGAGCCAGTCACATATTTTTTCACACGAAAACGTGAGGGGCATTTCAAAAAGTGGAGTATAATACATGAATGTAAGGGACCTTACCTGAGTAAGGGCGCCCTCATCCTTCTGATACGCGTCACGGAGGTATAATTGACATAAAGTTGATACTTTTTAGGGCCCTTTTCCAATGCTCGACTTGGGCTCCATCTGAGGCTTCGTTCCCAAAACCAATCCCCGATTGCGGGCCTGAAGCGTTTCAATCAAATTGGATTACTGTAATTTCTGGCACTTCTGTATCTTAATATATGTTTTGTGGCACTATTAAACTAATTAGAGCGCTTACAGCTTCAAAGTCAGCAAGTTAAAAAACAGTTGAAGCCTGTGACGGAGCCGAAATTGAGTATTGGAAAACGGCCTGTGCTTCCCGGGCACGCGGTGTGAAGGTGGTCTCTTTGCTTTGAGGTCTCGAATGTAGAGCCGTACTCTCTGCATTTTGTTTCTAAGCCATTCTCCTAAGTGTGGGAGAGAGTCAATGCTAGAAACCCCTAGTAAGTACTTATCATTGTATAAATGCTTCACACGATCTTCTGTCGGAGAAATTGTACGATTTACGTAGCCCAATGTGGTAACTGCTTTTTGTTTTACAACTTGCCACAGTGTATTGGTTAGCTAGCAGGGTTAGCCTTTGACCATCCATTGTATTGTTATTTACGGTGCCGTCTAGCCATTACACACCAACCGTTTTTATGAGTTCTGGAGTTAGATATCATTTATTGTTCACGTGTTCTCCAAGTGCTCGTCTGCTTTAATTAGGGGACCGTTCCTCCGTCCTCCTACCGTCCAACTGACGCTGGTCCGCTATATATACATGTATATCTCCACCCTCCCAGGATTTGTGCCCACGGTGACCGCAAATATGCAGCTTTCAAACAGCAGACATTCACTGCAGGCACAGTGGAAGGAGTTTCATACATACTGTACAAGTGTAGCAGTACACATGGAAATTGTTCTCGCACAATTATAAAGTGTAAGTTCACACGTGTATGTGTATGTAACTGATCAAGCGAGTTAAGTTTATTTGTTCAAAACTCTTGTCTTAAGTTGATGCCCAGTCCTGTTTACTTATAAGAGCTACATAAAATAATGCGCAAATTGACTTGTGCTTCGACAAAAAGACTTGTGACTTTGTTGTGTTGGACAAAATGACTTGTGAATTGACTTGGAACCACCTCTGCCTTACGCAAACCGAAGTTCTGCCTTTAATGAATCTTTATCATATCAATACACTTTTTCATACAAATAAATGCCACAACCAGCCTTTGGTGCGTCAACGAACCATTCAATCACAGTATGCTCCACCGGCTACTCACCATATATCCTCCTGCGCCATTGCCCATTATTAGTAAACCAGGACTTGCTCATGACACAAAGACCGGTAGACTGGTCCCCGTCCCTATTACATAGGGACCGGTGCGATTAGCCCTGTCAATCTGGATGCTGAATATTTAAGTTTTTATCAGGCCAATAGCAATGCTTTAACATGAAATATGTCTGCACTCTGCACGCAAGCAGAATAAAATGCAAGTACTATTTCCCGCTAAGCCTCTGTTGATCACGTGTGGTAATTTATTTTTCAGTGATAATCGTCGATAAATCAATTCACGGCAATTTATTTCAAATAAGTGCTTACTGTGTTAAATTTTAAATAAATGAACCATTTACAGTGAAGTTAATTTCAGTAACGAAGAAGAAAAAGCATAATATGCTGCCAGCTCTTGCTTGATTTGTGCATAGAGCAGACACCGTTTCCTCAACATACACTTGACAGGAATCTGCCGGATTCATTACCCACTACTGGCCCCTACGTAAGACGTCTGGAGACTACGTATGGGACGGGAACCAGTCTAAAAGACCGGCAGCGCCCTCTACGTGCATAAGGGGAAAAGGGAAAGGGAATTATTATTTTTTTTGTTTTTATTCAACAACACCTTTTTTAACCTGCTAATTAAATATTTTCCAAAGCCTTTAATAAAGAAATACCTATAGAAAAACCTGCTATTACTTCGGTCTTTTATTTAGGAATTGGATGGGCAAACTTGGGTGTAGAAGGGGAATCCTGCAGGGTATCCCTCCTTTAAGTGTCCTGGTATTGCTCTACTTTACTTGTTTGGTTGTCACACTGTTCACAGGTACTGTGAGCTATCATCCGATATTTCCCCCAAAATATCAGTCTAACTTGGTAAAAATTGTCGGTCTTCTTTAACATTCACACTGACCAGTTTAATGGAAAACTTTTTTTAAGGTAATTAACCCTTCATTACAAATCAGACATTATCGTAGTCCATGCTGCCGGGCAGAGTCTAGATCTGGAGGCTTGGCCGCCATGATCCGTTAGCGTCCCACCCACGGATGTATATTATAAACCTGGACTTGCAACGCCTTTGTATGAAAAAGAAGCCAACCAGCGGCCATTTCACCATGCCAAATACAAATGTGTGGGTTGGATCCCTTCTATTGACGTCAGGAAGAACAAAGGCTGGCATTGCCAGGAAAGCTTTGTATTCGGCTCGGTAAAATGGCTGCGAGTGGATTCAATGACTCTATAAGCTGATTAAGGGCATTGCGAGTCCAGATTTTATTATACACGTCCGTGGTCCCACCGCCAACCGGCCAGCCAGCAGCGGCAAGTACATGTACAGGTACCATTCACTCAATTGTGTCGTGCAAGATTGTACCTGACTATGAAGCCTGAAAGTTCCCCTTATGGCGCGCTTCCGGAAGCATTGGAAAGGAAAAATAATGTGCAAAGATTTTAGAATTTGTAAGATTTTTTTCGTTCAGTTACTTCATTAAAAATCCCACTTAGAAAAGGGGCTTTGGAAACTTTTTTGCGAGTATATCAATTTATAGAAACTGAAAAATCCCTTGACTAAAAAGAAAAATATCCCGCCAAAAACTGACCCATCACTTCCGAAAATCTAAAATGCATGAAAAACAGTGCAATGAGGCAGTCTCGTATGCAGATGCACATTTAGGGTTTGAAATTTTATGGTAGTCTGTGAGTTATAGCCGAAATAAAAACAGATCAAAATATTTGAAATACTTCTATCATTTATAAGGTAATAAACGTAAGCAATGTTGTACTTATACGAAAGATTCTAATATTTTATCCAACAACAATGAACTGCTTGATGGGAACTCAATGGAATCTGGAGCCCATCGACTGCAGGTAGGTAAATCTGTGCAACGTAGTACAATCTCGTTTTCACGAAAGTACGGGCAGTTAAAACAAACGTGCCTGAACAAGGAGACCTAGGTACGATATCGCCGGATGTGAGAGGTCGTTAATAAAAATCGCTTTTTACCCATCTTCGGGTGACTTTTCCTAAATCTTACTTGAGGAAGACACGGATTAAATTCCAATATGAGTTGAAAGAAAGAAAGACTTGTTTTACTTTTCATATGAAAACTTTATTTCGCTCCATTGAAACGAACAAAAATACAATAACTTAAAATTAAAAAAATTACAGAAAAAGATTGTTAACAGAAGTGAAAACAGACAGTAAATGAAAAACAGGATAGATAAACGAAAATGAATGTCATACAGTGTAAGTAAAAAAAAGCAAACAGAAAGAAAAGGTTAAGATTAAGATGAATAATTGATCGGAAAAGAAAGCTGCCCAAAGCGCAGAAAGAGTACACGCAGTAGGAATGATTCAATACACGTGTAATAACACGTGTAATAATAGCACGAGGGGGAGGGAAATCAATGTCTGGCCGAGGCCAGTAGCTGCCCCCGGACGCAGGTCGGGAGGAGGGAAGGAGATGGCCGCCGGCGTCTCTGGACGCGGGCAATTCAGCCCACTGCCGTGGGGAGGGGTTGGGTAGGGGAGACGAGGGGATTGGAAGAGTTATCTTGTTGGCGAGGACAGTGAAGAGAGAGTCGTTGATGTACCATTTTTCGTAGAACAGATCAAGAATGGAATTGAGGCGATGATAGTGAAACACGACAAAGATTCTGGATTTCAAACGGTGAAAACAGACGAAAAGAGGATCGGGGAAACGGGTGGAGCGATAAAACGGGTAGATGACGTTTTGGGGGCTGACGATGAGAACGTTTGCAAGTTTAACTGCAGGCAGGTTACGATTCCTGGTGCGGGGGATCAGGATCCAGTAGAGGTCAAACTCTAGGCGAAGATCGGGAAGCAGAAGAGACAACAGGCGTGCAGAAGGTTGGGCATGGGTTGGATGGCAGAATCTAGGACAGAGGACGAAAAGGTGAATGACAGTTCCTTCCTCCTCCTTCTTCTGCACCATCCACAAGAGGGGGACATGTCCGAGTTCAGGTGATGGAGAACT